TTATATACCATCTGCTAAGGGTGGAACGCTCTTTTTAGGAAGAGAAATATAGAGCTACTGAGGGCCTTGACAAAGAGAGCCCCCAAGGTTTTCCTGAGTCCCAAACTGACACTCTAGCCATAGAACCATGCTGCCTCTTATCCTTGGTTTGCATATTTTATAACTAGGATATATGGAGACACCCTGAGAAGAATAGGGAAGGAGTGAATGAAAAATTGCTGGGATATTGACTCTAGCAAAGGGTTCCTGATATGGAAGACCTTGTACCCCCATATTAGTACCTCTTCTCTCTTGTCCACTTCTGGAAGCTGCAGCTTAAAACATTGAAATTATGTTCCCATATTTTTCTCTCTGTCCCTGTTCCTTTCTTTTTCTCTATCATTATGTTTAACAGAAAAACAAAAACAAAGCAAAAAGAAAACCCCAATTTTAAAAAGGGACACAAATCCAGAAAGATCTGAGAGGCAGATATTATTGTGCAGCCAGATGTGATCTCTGATTAGGGTATTTAAAGTTGAAAGGAACAGACCAATTTAGAAAAATAGACATGCTATTGTGACAGACCAGGGTTTCTAAGTCACAGAGATTAATGGAAGAAGATTAATGATTAAACATAAATAAAATGAGATAAATATTTACTTTATGTACTTAAACAGAGGACTAAGTGCATTCAGTGAGTAGGGAGCAAATAGGAAGTCATGGGAATTATATTTTAGATGGAGTCAGTGAAAAATTTTTAAATGTGGCATGACTATATATGTGTGTGAACTTTCTAAGCAGATTTCAAAGTGTTTACACCAAAAACCTATACTCTAGGTCTACTTTTTTGTTCCTGTTTTACTTTATTCCTCTGAGACTGATGGAGAGGGTGGAAAAGATCAATGGTTACCAGGCATTTTTGCCCTGAGTGCAATCAGAGACTTTAACCATGCCTATGAAAAAGCTTTTCCACGCATCTAATGGTAATCCTCTGTATTCCCCACCAGGTGCTCACTTGTCTTGGATCATTGTGTTGCTGAGAAGAGCTGAGTCATTCATAGTTGATCATCACACAATGTTGTTGATATAGTGTACAATGTTTTCTTGGTTCTTTTCATTTCACTTTGCATCAGTTTGTACAAGTTTTTCAGATTTTTCTGAAATCTGCCTGTTCATCCTTTCTTATTGCACAATAGTATTCCATTACATTCATATACTACAGCTTGTTCAGCCATTCCCCAATTGATGGGCATCCCTCAGTTTCCAATAGTTTGCCACCACAAAAAGGCTGCCATAAATATTTTTGGACATATAAGTATTTTTCACTTTTTATGATCTCTTTGGTATGCAGACCTAGCAGTGGCATGTTGCTGGGTCAAAGAGTAGACACAGTTTGGTTGTCCTTTGGGCATTGTTCCAAAGTGCTCTCCAAAATGGTTGGATCCTTTCACAACTCTACCAACAGGGCATTAGTGTCCCAATTTTCCCCACATCCTCTCCAACATTTAACATTTTCCTTTTTTTGCAATTTTAGCCAATCTGATAGGTATGAGGTGGTAACTCAGAGTTGTTTTAATTTGCATTTCTCTAATCAAAAGTGATTTAGAGCACTTCTTCATATACTTATAGCTATTTTTGATTTCTTTGTCTGAAAACTACCTGTTCATATTTTTTGACCATTTAACAAATTGGGGAATGGCTTATATTCTTATAAATTTGACTCAGTTTGTATATATTTGAGAAATGAGGACTTTATCAGAGATACGTCCTGTGAAGATTGTTTCCCAGCTTTCTGCATTCTTTCTAATCTTGGTTGCATTGATTTTGCTTGTGCAAAAGCTTTTTAATTTAATATAATCAAATTTATCTATTTTACATTTCATAATGCTCTATATCTCTTGTTTGGTCATGAACCTGTAACTCACTTGATTCATTCAACTATTTGGATGTTATACTATTTGGTGCATATATGTTTAGTATGAATATTACTTCATTGTCTATGGTACCTTTAGCAAGGTACCTTCCTTATCTTTTTTAATTAGGTCTCTTTTTGCTTTTGTTTTGTCTGAGATCAGGTTGCTACTCCTGCTTTTTTTTTTTAAACTTCAGCTGAAGCATAGTAGATTCTACTTCAGACCCTTACCTTTGCTCTGTGTGTGTCTCTCTGTTTCAAGTGTGTTTGTTATAAACAAGATTGTAGGATTCTGGTTTTTGCTCCCCTCTGCTATCCACTTCCATTGTATGGGCGAGTTCATCCCATTCACATTCACAGTTACTATTACTGTGTATTTCCTTATGTGTATTTTCCTCCCATTTGTTCTCTCTCTCTCTCTCTCCTTTCACCCTTTCCCTCTTCACTAGTGTTTTACTTCTGTCTGCCTCCTCCCCTGGTTTGACTTCTCTTCTCTCAGTCCCTCTCGCACTTTACTTAATGTCCTCCCCTCCTACTTTCCTGTTGGGTAGGATAGATTTCTATATCCAACTGATTGTGTATATTATTCCCTCTTTGAACCAATACTGATGAGAGTAACATTGAAGCAATGTCCATTGCTCAGCCTCCCATTTTCCCCTCCACTGTAATAGGTTTTTCATGTCGCTTTATGTGAAATAATTTATCCCATTCTACCTCTCCCCTCCTTCTGTACCAATGTACTCCTCTTTCTCATTCCTTAATTATTTTTTATGTCATTCCCTCAAATTCACCTTATACCTGTCTCCTTTGTTTATGTATATTCCTTCTAGCTGTATTATTAGTGGTCGTTTTTTGAATTACTAGTATCATCTTCCCATGTAGAGATGTAAAAGTTTAGCTCTATTGAGCCTCTTATGTTTTATTTTCCTTTTTTCCCTTTTTAGGCTTCTCTTGGGTCTTGATATTGGAGATAAATTTTTTGTTCAATTCTGTTCTCCTTACGAAATCTTGAAATCCTTCAATTTCACTGAATTACCATTTTTTCCCTTTGAAGTATTATGCTTAATTTCACTGGCTAGATGAATTTCAGTTGCCATTCACCTGGCTTGTTCCACCACACTGGGGCTCAGGATCTCTGCTGGTTTGCTGAGGTGGGGCTTGCTGCTGGCTTGCTGGGACATTTCCTGTCCTGGATTGCATTTCCCTTTTACCTGAGTTAAGACAGACCTTTTTTGTCAATCTTCCAAATTTTGGGGGCTAAAAGATTGCTTCACCCAATCTTTTTGCTGTTTTTCTCTTTTCCAGGATTTGTTTGGGGGTGCTATTTTATGGTTTTTTTGGAGGTGAATATGGGAATGTCATGGTGACTTACTGCTTACTCTGCTATCTTGGCTCCTGGAAGTCTTCCCCTTGTCATTTCTTATTGGACAATAGTATTCTATTATAACCACATACCACAAATTGTTCAGTCATTCCCCAATTGATGAACATCCCCTGAATTTCCAAATCTTTGCCATTCCCCAAAAAAGCTGCAGAAATATTTTTTGTGCATATAGGTCCTTTTTCTTTTTCTTTGATCTCTTTGGAAAATGGAGCTAGTAGTGGTATTGCTGGGTTAAAAATTATACACGGTTTTATAGCCATTTGGGCATAGTTCCAACTTGTTCTTCAGAATGATTAGACTTTTTGAAACTTTTTATGATGCCTCTACATTGTAAGAATTGTTATTATAGTCTTCCACACATTCATTTTGAATGTAAGCTTCTTGACGGCAGGGACTATTTCATTTTTGTCTTTTTATCTCTAACACTTACCATATTACCTGGCCTGTAGTAATAATAAATGTTTGTTGATTGGTTCATTTGTATTTTTCTGTAAATCTCAGCTTTAATCATTACTATTTTTTCCTAAACTTGAATTTTCACTGCTGTTCCCACCATAGAACTCCTACCAATACAGATCAGCAGCTTTTCTTCAACTTACAGTGTTAGAGATTTGCCTAGGGGCAGTGAGACTTTAAGTGACTTGCCCAGGGTCACTTGGGTATTATATGTCAGAGGAATAATTTGAACCTAAGTCTTCCTGACCCTTAGGACAACTCTGTCTACTATACTGTGCAACTTCTCATCTATAATTACGTTCATATTTAATCGTGTAAAGCTGACAGGGAGTTCTGCCTACATAAACATTTCCTTCTATGTTCCCAGTCATTTTGCCTTAATCATTATTTTATATTGAGGTGGGATGGGTAGTTGCATAAAAATAGCAGGATTAGATATTCTCCTGATGCTTTGCTTAGGACTCCACATATAGATGCCCTCACACACACACGCACACACACACACGTGCACACACACACGTGCACACACACACACACATGCACACACACATAGGGATGGTCTCCCTATGTCTTTTTTAAATTAGAGTTTAAATTTTTCAATTAACAAATATTTATTTTTTTCTCCTTATAGGAAGGTTGATAACAAACATTATAAACTGGATAGGAGTTTAAACAAAGAAGAGGGAAAAGAAAATAGGTACAAGGATGGGACGATAAGAGGATGAGGAGGGAGGGATAAAAAGAAAGTAAAATGAGAAAGTGAGTTCCAAGGCCCAGAAGGCACAGTAAGGTTATTCCTACTTAACACAACAATGTCAAGCATAGGGAAGACTGAAGCAAAGGGACTGATGTCTGGAGTAGTCAGCAATAACTGAGAGTGATGGTATTTTGGAGGCCAAAGTTGACTTTGAAGGCCCTAAGGTGGCACCTGAAAGCTTACAGTTCTCAATACTTCAAAGGGGCTTGACTGAACTCTGGTCCTTTTGTAAGTTTTTACATGTTGATGTCTTATAGACTTGCTTCTAGTAAATTGGAAAGGAGTTTTTAGCTAATGATAACTTCATTAATGATAATGAACACACCCTCAGTGAGTGTGTTAGTGACAGGAAGAAATGTGGCAGTTATGCTAGTAATTAGACCTACATATTTCTATACATAACTGAGGTTTGGGAAAATGCTTGGTTTTGGAAGCTAAGAGATGGTGAGGAAAAAAATACAATCTATCACCTTGTAAATCCTCTAGAAACCTTCTGCCTTTCTTTTCTCTCTTAGCAATGTTACCTTGGAAACAAGAAACTATGTTAATTAAGAAGGATATCACTTGTCCAGGTAAATATATAGATGGGGTCCATCTGTTTTCTGTTTCTTAGACTTCTGTGTTACTAATATCACCATACATTAAGCAGACAAGCAAGAGAATTTCTGAATTAAGGCTACTGATCGACTGATATTAACTAATTCCTTTTTAAATGTGTTTCTTATTTTTTCTAACTCTGAAGAAATAAAGAACATTTTAAAAATTAAAGGACAGTCAATGTGATGTTTCCAAATGTAAAGACTCCAAGTATAAATGCTGATATACTATCTCAATGTACTAGCCATGGAATCAAATTTCTTAAGTGGATAATAGGTATTTTTCATCCATATTGCTCTATGGTTACAAGTTTTAGAACAGTAGTTTTCTAAGTGACTTAAATGAAAATGGAGAGGCACAGGGTGGAAACAAATAATCTGCATTTTTCAGTTTGCATATCTCAATAATAAGCTGCTTTGAAAGTGATGTGATGATAATTTTGTTGTATATTTAAAGGGAATAGCAAGTTATATATAGTAGATTTGCAGTTTCATGTGCAATCATCTTTTTTTTTTATTATGCTATGTTATGGAAATGCTTGTTTTATTCCATAAATTAAAAATAAAATAAATTCAAAACAAAACAAAACAAAACACAAAAAGAAAGTGACGTGAGGGGAATGACTAAGAAAAGTTCTTAGAAAAGGAGGGTAGATGGTGAGGTGATGCAAAGGACTGATAGCTCAAGTCCTCCATTAGTACCTTCAGAATATAAGGTACTGCATGGGAAAGCTGCAAACTTATTGGGAGAATCCTCTGAGGAAGATCTATGAAAGAACACAGGCAAGTACTGTGCCAGATGAGAAGGCATGGGTTGGTTGAAATCTTTACTGGTAGAAACAATTCCCTCTCCAATGAGACTGAAGATGTTTTGCACTGAAAGGAAAGGCCTGAAGAAGTATTGGATCTTCCAATTTATCATTTCATATCTTCAGGTCCCAATTTAGGCTTCACTTCTTACCTCTGTAACAGAGGTGCCAAACTCTCAGCAACATTCTTGTGTGACCAGAACCAGATTAAAACGCAATTGGGAAATATTTTTAACAAAATTAAGTAGAACATAGGTAATATAAATATGTGGTTTTCTAAGTCAATATGTGGCTTGAAGTTATCTTTATGTACAGTTTAGTGGCCTCCATTTCTTTTTTTTTTTTTGTTTGACACCACAGCTCTAGAAAATCTCTCACATATTTGTCCCTTCCGTCTACCTCCTTGATTCAGGCCCTCGTCACCTCTCACCTATACTTACTGGAATACCTTCCTACTTGGTCTTCCTGTCTCGTCTTGCCTACTTCATTCATCCTCCATGTAGCTACCAAAGGATATTACTAAAATACAAGCCAAACAATGACACTCACATGCTCAAGAAGCTTACATAGCTCTTTAAACTCTAGGATCAAATGCAAATTTCTTGTTTGGCATTTGAATCCTTCACAATCTAGTTCTGTTCTCTTTTCCCAGAATGATCTCACTTTGTTCCTGCTCACACATTCTATGTTCCAGTCAAAATGGCTTACTAAGTTCATTCTCATATATGACCTTTCATTTCCTGCCTATATGACTATGAACAGACTTTTGCCCCTCAGTGAAAATATATTCCTTCTTCACCTCTGCCTCTTGAAATCCCTCAGTTCTTTTAAGATTAATCTCCAACATCAACTCATACATGTGGCCTCTCCTAATCCTCCCCAGGTGTTAGTATCTTCCCTTCTGCCCTCTCCAAGTTACTTTGCAATTTATTCTGTTTAGCTTTTCTTTTTACTAATTTATGTATGTGTTATTACTTACCTTTGCTATCCCCTCCCTCAGTAGACTGTATGCTTCTTGAAATAGAGATTGTTTCATTTGTATCTTTCTATTTCTAGTTCCTAGCACATAGTACCTTGGAAATAGTAGTCATTTAATGAGTGCTTGTCAAATGAATGGTAGCTAGCACTCATGCAGTGCTTTAAGATTTGCAAAACACTTTACAAATATTAGCCTTTTTAATCTTCATATCAACAAGAGTAGGTAGACCCTATTATTATCCCTATTTTATAGATGAGGAAATTGAGGCATGCAGAGATTAATTGTGACTTGCCATAGCTAGTAATTGTCTGAGGCCAGATTTTGAAGCAAGGTGTTCCTTAATCCCAGTCTAGTGGGCTATCCACTGAACACATGAATTGTTAAATTGCAACTATTGGATTCAAGGATTTTACTTGAATAGTTTTTTGCCCCTATTTCTTTCTACATGTACAATTTATCTTCTTCTAAATATCTTCTTCTAAAATATGGTGCATTAAGCCCAACTCAAGTAATAATTTAGGCTCCTGTACTTATTTAGAAGGGTTGTTTGATATATAACTTTAAAGACTGTCATTAAGGTGAGGACTTCAATCAAAATCTAGTACTGAAATGCCTTTTATTCTTTGTCTGAAGCCATGATTTTCAGCTTAGGCACAGAAAGCATAAGAGGCACAAAGATCAGAGAAATGTGGTATAGGCTAAATAGTAATGAAGCAAAACACCTTGACATATTTCTTAGTACAGGCAGCTCTTGGGTATTCAGAGTAATGGGGGAACATTTTGGTCTACGTGACAAAAAGCATCCACAGAAAAATGACAAAATGGAAGTTAGGCCCTCATCAGGACATTTATTAAGCTTTCTATTTAACAAATGAAAAAAGGAACAGTCAGGCTTCAAAAAAGATATTCTATAGCAGGGCATGTCTTTGCAGTCATAAACTGGACTAAAAGGTGAGGAAAATAAGAGGTGCCACTGTTCTTGTTTGCTGTCTTAGTAAGTCTTTTTTTTTTTGTTTAGTAGAATAAAATGTCCTAAAGCTTAGCCTATAATGAAATCACTTCCAAACATATAATAAAATCATAGAAGGTTTCTTTTAGAATTCAATAGTTGATACAACTTTGTTCAATAATCCTATATTAATATCAAGAGAGGCAAAACAGAGAAATGTACATTCACTAAGTGTTTGCTTTTGCTGTAAAAGATGCTTAACACAACTTCTGAATGGAAGAAGTATTACCGTTAGATCATGAGGTCTTCTAGATGTTCCTTTTGGAAGATGACATCTTGCTGATTACATCAAGTCATAGCATATTATAGAGCTTCCTGAATTGGATGAATACTCCTTCATAAAAAAGTTCAGCCTAACAATTCACAAAAGAAACACCAAGAAGAAGAAGAATGCCTATTGTTCAGCTTATCATATGCAATTGAATTGAAAGACTTTTGAGTTAGTCCATCAATATCTTTATTTTGGATAGACACTATAGATGGACAATTAATTGGGCTCAGAATTGACTACAAAGTGGGATAGATTGAGAGTGGGGTAGATTGCTCTCCGAAATTTCATAGAGATTTTCATGACCTTAAGTGTCTTTCTGAAAAAGAGGTCCATCGTTTTAATACCAATACTTTATACTGGTATAGTAAGAAGAATTGCCATAAAGCCAGGAAAATCTGGCTTCAAGACCTGCCTCTGACTGGCTATATGGTTCTGGGCAAGTCATTGATCTTTGCAATGCTCTAATTAACTCTCTATAACCATAGGTTTTAGAGAAATCACCAACTTGTATCAGTTGAGGTAATTTCCTCACTGTGGGATTACATAAACTAAAGAAATCACAGACCCAGTTCCTAACACTATTTTTTGGTCATACTATGTACTGGAAAGTAATGTAATACCTCAGTCCCTGAAGAATTAAAGTTACAGGTCACCCAAAGGTGATGGAGAGATGCATGGTGAGTGTGAATACATTACAATATTTAGCCAATGAATGATTGAATGCCAAAAATGGCAAAAAAAAAATCTTCATAGAGATGACCAGAATATAAGAAAAGAATATAAGCCAATTACATATTAAGAGGAAATGACAATAGAGGGATAGTCTGTGGGTTACATATGTGTTCACAAAATGCCAAATGTTAAAGGAAAAGGCCCAATATTTTCGCTAGACATCCCCATCCCACATGGAGACTTTATTGGAGGAAATAGAAGATAACAACACAAAATGAGTTTTGTTTAGGTTGCAGTCTGCATCATTAGGGGGACTACCTATGTAACTGAAACCTCAGATCTATTAAAATCTTTTTTATTTAAAAATTTTTACTTTCACTTTCAAAATTTCCACTTGCACCTAATCCCTCCCCCTCCCATTGAGAAGGCAAGAAATATGATACCACTTATACATATTAAGTAATGCCAAACATATTTCCATATTAGCCATGTTGCAAAAAATAGAGAGAAAAATAAAGTGGAAAAAAAGATGTTTCAATCTGTATTCAGAACTCATCAGTTTTGTCTTTGGAGGTGGATAATATTTTTCATCATGATTCCTTTGGAATTGTCTTGGATCATTGATGGTATTGATCAGAATAGCTAAGTCATGTACAGTTGATTACTGTTATAATATTACTGTTACTTGGTGTAATGTTGTCCTAGTTCTGTTCACTTCATTTTACATCAGTTCACATAAGTCTTCCTGTGTTTTTCGGAAAATATTCTGCTTGTCATTTTTTACAGTACAATAGTATTCCATCACAATCATAAACACCAAATTGTTAGGCCATTCCTCAATTGGTGGATATCCACTCAATTTCCATTTCTTTGCCACCACAAAAAGAACAGATATAAATATTTTTGTACAAATAGGTCATTTTCCCTTTTCTTTGATCTCTTCGAAATACAGACCTAGTAGTGATATTGTTGGGCAAAAGGTTATGCACAGTTTTATCACCCTTTGGCCATAGTTAACAAATTGTTCTTCAGAAGGGTTGGACACAACTCCACTAACAATGCATTAGTGTCGCTATTTTTCCACATCCTTTCCATCATTTATCATTTCCTTTTTCTGTCATGTTAGTCACTCTGATAGGTGTGAGGTAGTATCTCAGAGTTATTTTAATTTATATCTCTCTAATCAACAGTTATTTAGAGCATACTTTCATGTGATTATTGATAGGTTTGATTTATTTTTCTGAAAACTGTTCATATTCTTTTTCTGAAATCATGATTGATACCCTGGACTGTTTTTGTTTCAGCTGAAGCATAATAGATTTTGCTCCAGCCCCTTACCTTAACTCTCCATGTTTTTGTTTGTTTGTTTATTTCAGGTGTTTCTTGTAAACAACATATTCTTGGATCCTGGTTTCTAAGGCAGTCTGTTATCCTCTTCCATTCATTTTATGGGTAAGTTCATCCCATTCACATTCATAGATATGACCACTAACTTTGTATTTCCCTCCATTCTATTCTCTTCTTTCCCCCTCTATTCTATTCTTCTCTCTTTTTAACCTCTACTTTCCTCAAGATGAATTTCTATATCCAAGTGTTTGTGCATATATATATTCTTCTGTCTTTGAACCAGTTCAGATAAAAGTGGGAGTTCAGTCATTGCCTACTCCTTGCCACTATTTTCCCTTCCATTGTAGTAATCAATTCTTCCATTCTCTAGGTGATGGAAAGGCTACAAAGTTCAACTTCTTGGTATTGGCTAGCGAGAGGGACAATTTGGCCTTTCTTCCATATTCTCTTTCATTACTGGCCTCTATTTTGTTGGGAGGTCCTACATAGGGACCAGGGACTGTGGTGATGTCCAGGCAATGAAGATATTACTAGAGCTTTCTGCAATTCAGTGCAGTAATTTGAACAATCTAGAGTTGGTTGAAATTATTGCTGATGTCCAAATTCTTGCAGTTACTTAAGGAACTGCAAGCTCACATTGAAATTGATGGGGCCTATATAGGTACTCTTTTTCACTCAATCTACAGCCCATGTATGAGAGGGAGAAGTTGCTATTATTACAAATATCTTTAATTCTCTCTGGTTTTAATGTCAGGACCATATTTGTATCATTGAACAAATTTGGTAGGATGACTTCTTTCCTGATTTTTGTAGACAAATTATATAATATTAGATATAATAATAATATCATCTTTTAATATTTGTAAACTCATCTGAGCATTTTCCCCCACCTTGGGATTGATTTGTGGAATATTCAGTTTATTTTTTCTGAGAATAGGTTTTAAAAAATTCTCTATTTCTTGTTCTGTTATAATCGAGCAAAATAGTTTAAAACAATTTTCTTTATTTCAACTTCATCTCTTCATAAGTTTCCTTATTTTGGGTAATGTTCTCTTCACTTAAAAGTCAAATTACCTAAGGTTTTGTTTTTATTAATTTCCTACTTTTGTTTATCACTTCAAATTGCCATTTTCAATTTTGTTTCTTCGAAAATTTTAATTTTGCTGTTTATTTAGGGGCCCAATGTAAGCAATGGCAGCGGCCCCATCATAATCTCTTTCTCCTTGTGTAATCATTTGGCAAGTGTTGGCTCCATTTACTAGTGTAAACCTGGCAGGTCCCCACCACATATGAGAGATAACATTGACTTCAGGTCTTAAAATTCTCACCTGTGCAGGTTGTCTGAGAGAACACTGTTTCCTTGTGCAGTCACCTACTGAAAACTGGATTTATCGCTGGCTGCAGGCATGATAGACCCCTATCAGGTATTGGGGATCACACTGACTTCTGGTCTCTTGAAATCCTTAAACATCGTTATGCGTCTTATGGACTCTTCTTCCTCTCTTTTGGTAGTTCTCTAGCTCTTTTCTGAGTAATGGGAGAAGTTCCTTTAATGATTTATTTATATGTGGTCTGGGCAAATAATTTTCACGTGTTCTATTTAAGCAAAATGCAAATAAGCTACTTAAATCTGTGGTGAGGCCTTCCCAGCATCCCTCAATGTGCCTCTTATTTTTTGTAGGAAACACAGGCAACAAGCTAGGGTAAACTTACAAGATCTGGTGACTTTTCCCCCTTCCTTTTCCCAGCTGCAGTTGAAATCTCTGTTCTCTCTTATAGTTTTAACATGAAAATGTATCTTTTGGAACTCCTTTCAAAGCAAAAAGAAGGAAGAAGAAGAAGAAGAAGAAGAAGAAGAAGAAGAAGAAGAAGAAGAAGAAAGAAAAAGAAAAGCAAAAAAAAGAGAAAGGTATTGGGTTACTTCATTATTGAGCCTTGTTTGACAAAATCAGAATCATTTAGCTTAATTACACACTTTATGCATCAGAATTTAGTGTAAATGATCTTTGGTTTGTTCCATGATATTATGGTTTCCCTTGGTTGAGAATATTTAAACTTTCATAGTAATCACATAGGAGAAATTCCAAAAATATTTTGAGCAATGAAGAACATGTTTTTGGATAAGCATATAGTTTCCCAATGCCAGTATTCTGATCGTACTGATACTGTTCTTTTGTATGTATAAGTTCTGACATGTCTGTTTAAAATAAAATCATTTTTATTTATAGTCCAGCCTGGGAAATTGGGCAAAGGTTTAGTGCTGTACCCACTCACCTGATATTATGCTTAAAGCTGGAATCATTGGAACTAGAGGCATTGCAGTGACTTGGAGCTTCAGACAATAGACTGAATAACAAAAAGACAATAGTCTTGGATACCATTACAGAAACAAAGTTCACAACATTTTGTTTTTTAGTTTTACTCAATCCCTTGACACCTGGAGATGTCATTACTGAGTTCATTAGAGCTCATCACTATACATTATAGAGGGCTGGATATACAGTCAGGAAGACCTGAGTTTGAATCCTACTTCTCATACTTATTAGCTGCATTCCTGGGCAACTCACTTAACTTGTTCTATGCCTGAGTTTATCTAACTATAAAATGAGGGAGTTGGACTCTATTCTCTTAGGTCCCATATAGCTTTAAATATATGGTCCTAGGATATGAAAGGTAGAGGTCCCGACCTGGTAACTATGGCTAGAAAATTTGCACCACCTGTTTTCCTAATCCCAGTGATTTAGAATTGATTTATCCTAAGGCAAAATTCTCCTTCTTTTGTTATCATACTATCAGAATCAGAGTCCCCATTCCCCATCCCAATTACTTCCTTCTCTGTCTTTATTTTCCATTGCGATCTCTGGAACTCCTAATCAATATTTAATAAATATCCTTTTGTTCTTCACTGAATTTATTATTTTTATGCTTTCTACCTTTTGTGATGGAAATATGGCTGTCTGTGGAAAAGAGTATTATTGCCTACCCTCTCTAGTGTTGGTTACTTCTTTTATGTATCACGATATATTGGGGTCAGGAGAAATAGTTGGTATATAAGAGGAATGATGTAGGTGTAGTTTAATTAGATTTTAGCAGTTAAAAAATAAAGTGTGTCATAATACCCTTGTGGAGAAGGTGAAGCAATACAGATTAGATGATAATATAAGCAGATAAATTTAGAACTAGTTGAATGGACAGACTTAAAGAGTACTTGCTAATAGTTCAATGTCATTATGACAAGTGTCCAGTGGAGTATTTAAGAGATATACTATTGGCCCTGCACTTTTTAACATTTTTGTGAAAGATTTGGGTGAAGTACTAGATGGCATGCTCATCAGCTTTGCTCATGAAACAAAGTATGGTGCAGGACAGGAGGGGAAGGTTATGAACCCACTGAATAACAAAGTCAAATCCAAAAGGATCTTGATAAATTAGAGTACTGGGCTAAATCTACGAAGACGAACTTCAATAGTGATAAAAATTTTGCGCTTGTGCACAACCCTCCCCCCCAAAAAAAGAAACAACTCAGCTTCATGGAGAAGGCATGGTTATACTAGCAGTTGTTATTTAAAATATCTGGGAGTTTTAGCGGATTTTAAGCTTAATATAAGTCAGCAGTGTGATGTGGCAGTTAAAAAAAACATTAAGAGAGCTTCTAGAATTAGGCGGTGGTAGTCCCACTATACTATGTTCTTACAAGACCTCATCTGGAGTAGTGTGCACAGTTCTAGGCACTATCATTTGAGAAGAATATTTATAAGCTGGAAAGTATCCAGATCAGGGTAACCAGGATAGGTAAGTCCTCTCTACTCACACTGTTATCACCCTTATTTCCTCTTGCCTAGATTATTATAATGACCTACTGATTGATCTCCCTGTCTCAAGAGAGACCTCCACTCTTCTTTCCATCTCATCTTTAATTATACTGCCAAAATGATTTCTTTTAAGTACAAATCTAACCATATCACTCCCATACTTAATAAATTCCCATGGCTCCCTACTGCCTTTAGATTTAACTATAATATTTTCTGTTTATGAAACTCTTTACAAACTTGCTCCAATCTATCTTTCCAGGCTTATTGTAGATTACTCCTCTCTTGAACTTTGTGATAGAGCTGAATTGGTCTTTTCAATTTCCCTCACGTGTAACACTCCATCTACCACCTCTGTTCCTTTGCATTATCTCTCCCCAGACCCATAATGCACCCCCTTTAAGTTCCAATTCATTGAATTCCTCTCCTCTGTTAAGATAGAACTCATGTCTCACCTTCATTAAGGCCTTTCTGTACTCCCTAACTACTAGTGCCTCCCTGCCTCCCACAAACTACCTTCCCTTTAATTACTTTTGATGTATTTGTATTAATTTTTCTTATATTATTCTGTGAGGAAACATAAGATGGTGGATAGTCTTGGCATCAAAGCTAGAAAGACCTGGTTTCAGGTCCTGCTTCTGACATACTGATGTTTCACCCTGGCCAAACCCATTTAACTTCTCAGTATTCTAGATAACCGTATGTAAGTTGGAGAGAAGGTAGCAACCTTTATTGCTAAAGAGACTTTGCTCACTGAGAATACCCTACACCAATGAGATCACAGATCTAGTCTCCATTCCTATTTTTACGTTTATACATACATGTTGTATCCACTGTTAGAATATGAGTTCCTTGCAAGTAGAGATTGTCACCTTCATTAAACCCGCACCCCCAAAACCTAGTACTATGTCTGGCACACAGTGCCACACAATGGATGTTGATTGAGTCTATATCAAACGAAGGTAAGTTGAAAGAACTGGACATGAGTGCATGGAGAAGAGAAGGCTTGTGAATGGTGAGGGGAAGAGGAGGGAATAAGCATTTATTGAGCATGTACTACATGCTAGCAAAGTGCTGTGTTGTAAATAATTTCTCATTTGATCCTCACAACTCTGTAAGTCAGGTGCTGTTTTTATCTCCATTTTATAGCTGAGAAAACTGAGGCAGACAGAAATTAAGTAACTTGCCCAGAGTCACACACCTAGTAAATATCTGAGGCTAGATTTGAACTCTCATCCTGATGCCAGTCCCACTGCTCTAACCACTGTACCACCTACCTGCCTTTGAGTATGTCCAAAATAGAAATCATTATCTTTGCTCTTAAGTTTGCCATACCTTCAACCTTCCCAATAATTGGAAAGGCTATTGCCGTCATAATCAAGCAAGTTTGTAACCTTGAAGTAATCCTTGACTCTTCTCTTTTCATCATCCCTTGTTCCCAGATTCAGACTGTTTCCACCTTTTAGCAGTTCTTCTTACTCAACATTTCCACTACTTGTCACTTTCTTTTTACCAGTGCTGCCACCACGCTTTTTTAGACCCTCATCACTCTCACTTAGATTACTGTAGTTGCTTCCTAACCAATCTCTCTTTCTCTAGTCTCTCCCCTTTCTAAATTCCCTAGACAATTGCCAAAATCACCTTCCCTAAGGCACAGGACTGATCATGTACGTCCCCTACTCAAAAGACTTCAGTAGGTCCCCACTGCTTTGGGGATAGAAGACAAACCCTTTACCCAAGGAGTTAAGGTTCTCCATGTTCAGACTCCTACCACTTTTCCAACTTTATTTCATCCATTCGCTTTCTAGACTCTACATACCAGTCAGACTGGATAAGCTAGCCATTCTATGAACGTGATGTTCCATTTTCTGTCTCGATTCATTTGCATAAGTCATTCTTCAAGACTGGAATGTATTTCCTCTTTATCTACACTTCTTATAACTCTTATATTTATGACTTGATTAAATCACCATCTCCTCCTTGAACCATTTCATGATATCCTAATCCCCAAGTAGTTGTTAACATGTTTCTTCTCTCTCCTTTTCTCTATCTCCTTTTCTCTGCCCCTCTCTGTCTCTCCCTCTCCCTCTGTCTGTTTTTCTTTGTCTCTGCTATCTTCTCTTAATTTTTATTATACTATACAATATGTAGTATTTGTATCCTCCTTATTGTATCTTCCCAATAAAAAGGTTATTTCCTTGATGGACTGTTTTCTTTTGGTCTGTGGATCACCAGTGCCTGGCATCATGTCTTGTCTTGCATATGGTTTGTGCTTCTTAATATATGTTTGTTGAATTAAATTATATTTCAATTATATAATATCCACAGCCCTAATTTAAAAATAATCCTCGTGATGGAGGAAAGACAAGATTTAGTGGAAGTGTAATAGCTGTCACCAGCTGTCATGTGCAAGGGAGATTAGACTTTTTCTACTTGGTTGGCTCACAGGGCAGAACTAGGAGTGATTGGCAGAAGTTGCCGAGATAATTTTAGCCTTCGTTTAGGGAAAAACTTCTTAACAATTGGAGCTACTTAAAAGTGTAATTGCCTGCCTTGAGAGGCTCTTCAAGCAAAATCTGGGTGATCCCATTGTCAGATTTCATAGGGAAAATTCAGGTACAGATTGGATTGAGGTCACTTCCGATTCTGATATTCAGTGAGTTGATGCACAGTATTTGATCTAATCATCTTTTTGGAAGAATTTAGGAAGAACTCAACCAATTGCAGCAATAATTTCTCTCTGACCAATATAATAAGTGAAGGTACATTTGGTTTCTTACTGTGTGCAGTGATTATCAAATTATAGCTGATTGAAATAAGGCTCGTTTGTACTCAAGTATTTTCATTATCTCCCACAGAAATAAAACACTTCATACATTTTTAAATACATAAGAGGAGGAAAAAAAAGAAAATGAAAGCCTTGAAATAAACATGATTCCTTCTTGAAAGAATGGTGAAATTAAGGTTTGAGAAATTAGATGGAGCTGGATTGTCATCATCATGTATGAGATCAGGCATATGAACACAGATTATTCATATGAACACATTTAATTAAATCTTAAAAGAAAGTAATAAAATTTATCAGCTTATTAATTTTTTTTTACCAGTTTATCTTTGTCCCTAAAAGACCTATAAAGAATGAAGTGGAGGAAGCAGAGCCCAGATGGCAGAGTGAAAGCAATGACTTGCTTGAGCTCTTCCCCAAACACTTCCAAATACCTGTAAAAATGGCTCTAAACAAATTCTAGAGCAGCAGAACCCACAAAAAGACAGAGTGAAGCAAATTTCCAGCCCAAGACAAGCTGGATGGTTGATTGGAAAGGTCTATTGCAACAGGCTGGGAGAGGAGCACAGTTCAGCATGGGCGCACAGGCAAAGACTAGGCCTCAGCAAACCTGGAGCAGGCCTCAGGGGACTGAATCACAGGCAGATGTGGTGGTTTCCAGACTTCTCAACCCACGAATGCCAAAGACAACTTAGAAGGTCAGTAAGAAAGGTCTGTGATGTTAGTAAGAGAGAAGTTTGGTCCCAGTTTTAGTCCGGGCATGGCTGCTTCTGGAGCTTGCAGCCCACAAACTAAGGGGGAATCAAGTGGCTGATTAAAGGGGGATTGCAGAGATCTCTTTTCTGGCACTGAGGCAGGATTCTCTTACTTTGCCTGTGCTTGGATCTGGGTCACAGTTCTGGGTGGCAATCCTGGGGTGAAGAGGAGCACTCGCGTGGCAGAGCTTGTAGTGACAGTACATAGAGAATCCTCCTCACAGTGCCAAGGCAGAAAAGAGTACTTGTGGTCACTCATAGACCAGATCATAGTCTAGGAAAGGCCTTGCCCTTGATCATACCACCTTGGTAGAACTGGAAATTTACAGGTCCCTAGAAATATCTCTGAAAATAGCTGCACAAACCCCCCAAAGCTTGGGACAGTACATTCCCCACACTGGAAGCAGATCCCTACCATAACAAAGAGTTTAAAACTCAAATAATTTGGCTGGGAACATGAGTAAAATGTCAGACCATAGAATCTTTCTTTAGTGACAAAGAAGATCAAAACATACAACCAGCAGAACACAACAAAGAATCAGTCCCAGGCCTTGGA